AATTATTATTTGTTCAGTTTGTTAGATATAGGCATCTTAGTAATATTGATGCCAAGATTTTTTTTTTGCATTTCCACATATTTTCTAAAATATGACAAGAAAATAAGATACTCAGTATAATTTAAAATGTCTCCTACAGACAGAAATATATGGAGAAATATCACTTTTTTGATAAAACAATAAAATACAGCATTATTTTCATAAAGACATGCAAAAATAAGAAGAATAATTCCTATAGATATTGGACATGAAAGTGACAGTGTGTGAAAAACGCAAATTAAAACTTTTGATCCAAGTTCAAACACGGAATATTAGACAAATCAATCAAAATCGCCCCAAAACACAAGCTGCGTTGCGGACAGGCTGCAATTTCCACTAAGGAAAAAATAAAAAAAAACATTTGGTTGCTTTGATAAGCCAGACAGCCCTACAATATCCATCCATTAAATGATCGCATCCGGCTCTTTGTACTTAATTATGGTGATTATAACCGCGATAACGAGACAACAATAACACAAAGTTTTAAGATGCAGACCGCGCAGGACGCATTTTCTCTCCAAGGGGGCCCGCTCTCGTGTCTGCGTGTTCAAACACTTGTTATTTACCGGCGACGCGTTTATTTCAATTACCGTCTGCATGTCAAATTAGCTCTCGTATGTGGTGTTTATTAGCACAACAAAAATAATAAAACACACACGGGGGGGTGGGGGGGTGGAGGGAAAGGAGGAGGAGGGAGGGAGCGAGGGAGGATGGAGAAGTGGAGAAGGAGTTGGTTCTGCTTTTAATAAAGAATGAGGAATTAGTGCATATTGATAGGACTTAATAGACCGAGGGGGGTCATCAAACTAGTCGCGACTGAGCGATCCATGGTTAATTTACTATCAGTGTCATGTTATGGGAGAGAGAAGAGGGGGGAGATGAGGTGTTAATGCGCGCGTCGTGACGCATTAATATTCCCAAATATGAGAAGTGGAATACAAATACAGGTTTGGATATGTGTTCGGACAGAGAGGAAAATATTCAGGAGGGTAAAACAGGTGGCAGCAACAAAAGTTACATATATTTTTATTCCCTCAGAGGCGGTAAATAAAAAACTTGGCGAGCAGAATTCCACTCCCACATTTAAGACAAAAAATTCTACTTTTAATTTTCTAATAACCTCCTCATCTGATGAATAGGATTTTAAAGCTGCGCACCAGCCACTTAATGATCGTCCACGCCGCCTAAAAGTGAGAGTGAACTGGTTTCCTGATAATTTAGCAGGCGGGAGGATTTTTTTTTTTTTTTTTTTTTTTTTTTTGGTTGCTGTTGTTTCGGATGTGGCGCTTCTTCGGGGCCAAATTAAAATAAACTTCTCTCCCTGCGGCCATCGATCCGGCACAGAGGTGTGAAATGGACATTAATTTTCGTTCACTTCTCGCTGCGCAAAGGAGGGGAGCAAGAGAGATCAATGGCGAGCAATAACAGCTGACTGCTGAGAGAGAGAAAGGGGGGGGGGGGGATCGAAAACGCTGACAAATAAATCATCTTTTGCTACTTTTCCTCCAACCTCGACACTTTTTTTTCCTTTTTCGCCTACAGAATATTCCTATGGGAAGGGTGGAGAGAGACACTGAGATGGAGATAAGGCCTAAATGAGTGGGTAAGAAAAGCACATGTTCTCAGACTTTATATTTAAAATCAAGGCTTTTACATTGAATTTGGTGGAGAAAACATACACGCAGAATTACTCATACAGGTCCGTTTTGTGTTGTTTCACTTGAAAATAATTTCATTCATAATATGCTTTAAAGCAGGCATCATTATGTGTGATTTATATCCCACGGCTCCGAGGCATAGTCTCGGAGTTAATACCAAACAGACTGTAACGCGCATAAAATCTTACAATTAAAACACCCAAAAGTTTCAATCAAAATCCGACTTCCATAGAAACATATCAATAAAAACATAAGGCTTTGTGGCGCCTTCAAATGTGGACGGGAAATAAGCGGCGGCCTGTAAATCACTGATCAGAAACCTGAGGCAGGACAATAATAAAATGACAGAAACTGAGACGGTGGTGCATCACTCTGGGTGACAGCTACACCACCAAACACGATTAAATTGACAAAGTTTATAATCATTTGTATATGGAAAAGAGGCAGCTTTAATTTGTGTAAATAACATCTAACATATGCCTATTCAACTTGGTTGTTTAAATAGATTTTTAAACTTAATATCAAGCACTGTAACTGAAATCAATCCGTCAAATCGCTCTGAATTTCTCATTAACATATAATTAAAAACAAGAATTTTGAGGTATTTTAATTAAGCATTAGTTAAAAATGAAATAAAGCTCCTTTCTGCATTAAATTAATTTTCAAAATTATTCATTTAATAAATGCATTTACTGGTAGGAATGGGCTGTGTACCACAGGCTTTAATGGAGAAATGACATCTCTATTTTCTTTATCAGTAAATTGTATTAATGAGGAATGTGCAAACTTTCCCCCGCATCGGAAACAAACTACCATATATCTGCTGTATATGATGCCGTTTAACATGTTGAAAATATTGTTCTGTAACATCTCTCCTCTCCTGCCCAGTTTCCCACTTTTAAAAGATAATTATTGCTCGCTAATGTGAGTGCTTGAGAAATGAAAAGGCTCGGCTGGTCGTTATAAGTCAGGGCTGGTTGATCTGACAATCAATAAAATCAATTTAAAGGAATTCATCACGCTGGGTTCACTGGATCTGGATGTGGAGTTTGTGATTTTTCAGGAACTGTAATTCAATCTGCACAGTGCGGTGAGTTCAATGACCCGCCTCGGGCGCACCTTCGCTCCAAAAGTGTGTTTTTACGCGCTATTTATTGCTGGCAGGGAGAGGACTTTTCAACTTGGAAATTACTACTAATAGGTCTGCTGCATTTTTCCCACACTACTAATTTTATTATTCCCTGTTCTGAGTGTTGCGGCTTTGTGCGGCAGTGCGCGTTGATCCGGGCGCGTACGCGACTGCTCACTTGTTTGCTTCAGTGGGGTCGCTCCTTTTTACCAAACAGTATGGATGTGATTATGTCAAGGCGGGCACACACGCAGAGAAATGAAGGAGGGAGCTCAAATTAGTGAAAAATGCCTTCGACTATAAAAGATCAGAAGTTTTCTGCCTAAGTGACAAAAAAATCAATCTCATCAAGGCTTTAATGTTCTGCGCCTGTCACTCTCAATAAAAACTTTAAATTATTGCATTAAGAAACAGCAAATAATTAAATGTCTCTCATCAAGCCTGCAGTATGAAATCATTAGCAGGAACAACAAAAAATAAATAAAAACACAACGCCCTTTATACAAGCGAGCCGTTTCCCCAAAAAACATGATTAAAATATTTTTAAAAACTCGAGTTATGCTAAAAGTAATAATCCTGTCTTCCCGATGAGACATGTTAAATGCCGAAAATGCAAGTGAAAAATGAGTGCTGTATCCGGTAACACCGACGCAGCAGCAGCGGGACCTGGCGCTTGTGGGAAGCCGATTTTGGCTCACTGTGCTCGGCCACGAAACTGGAAGGCCCCCGGGACTTCCTCTGGCTGGGCGCTGCTTATTTAGGGGGAGGATGTAAATTATAGTGGCTCCCTAGTTAACAGGTGTTTCCCAACTGTGTGTAGGCCTGTGTGTGTGCGTGCGTTTGTTCGTGCGCGTGCATGCTATGCAGTGAGTCGCCTTTCTTTTTTGAAATGAAGCCGTCTGTTTCTCTTTGAGAGAAACTGAGAATAATTTGTTGCGCATTTGAGGACTTGTATTCACACACGCCCAGAGAGGAGGATTTTCTGTACAAACACTTCTCTCTTTTTTCCCTCCTGTTTCTGATTTTGTTCCTTTTCCACAATGTTTTATTAATTTTATTTTATTTTTTGTTTTAATTGCAACAATCACATTTGGTTGAATAATAATGAAAGTTTAAAATCTGTGATTAAATGTAAATTCGTTACTAACGATTAGTGATTCCATTATGACGGTATGGTTCTGGTCCGGGAGTCCTTTACATATTTCTATCTGTGTTGGTCACTCATTTAAATCAGGCTCATCAAAGGCTTTACTGGACCCCAAATAACGGGGCCAATACACGGCAGTTTAAACTACACGTCCTCATGACTGTGAGCGACCTGGTGCTGAAAAGCAACTCTAACTTTCACTAAAAGCAAAGCAGCGACATAATGACCCAGTGAGCTACAAACACGGATATCTCCCACAACTTCAACTCAACTTTTAAATACATAAAATCACAGCAGGCCTGCTGAATAACGTCCATTATTGAGGATCTAGCCGGTAATGATGGGAAAAGATCTCAGGAGCTCTGCAGTGATAATAAAGATTAAGGTTTCTCTGGCAGAATTTGATTGTATTTTTAATTACTTTACTGCGAGGATGAGAACAATTAAATTATCTAATCATTAATTCTGAGAGGACACAACCCGCCTTCATCTAAAGCACTGCATTGACACAATCAATATTTAGAGTTGTAAAAAGTTGAAATATTGGTTGCAATGTGTGGCCGTGCAGCACTTGTAATGTATAATATATGGTGATGGTTATGTATGCGTAATGGCATTGACACGCGCACTGTGCTAAACAATTCAAGTGTTTTCAAGAAAACACTTGAATTTTTCAAGAAAACACTTGAATTGTTTGGGAACCTTGAATATGCACGCACACGCGCGCACACACACCTAGAGAGTCAAAAGCAGATATGGACGTACACGCGCACACGCGTGAAAGTCCGTGTCCAAACGGAGACAGACCGTTCCGTGACTTTTTCTATTTATTTTTTTTTTTTACGCGTGGAAACGCCGCCGCGCGCAGCGACCAAAGCGCACAGTGGCAGAGAAAGTTTATTGAAACGACTCGAAATCCGCTTCCAAAACACAGAGAAGCGGCGGAACGCGAAAAAGGCGTGGAAACACAAACTGTATGAGCTTCAAACCCAACAACAACAACAAAAAGACAGTCAGTGTTACTCACCTCGCCGTGGTAGAATCCGCGTCTTCTGCAGACGACTCCTCGGTTTCCGGCTTCTTTTTTTTTATCCTCACAACAAACCGAAAACTTTTCTGCGGAGTGGGAATATCAGTAGCAGTGGCCCTTCTGGCTCTTGCGCAGCAGCACCGGAGATAACGGGAGGCGCTTTGTGGAAGCAAAAGTAGTTAACACCTCCCTGTTAGGTTACCAAAGCGCAGCCAGAGAGGAGGACAGAGAGAGCGAGGGAGAGAGAGAGAGGCTGACTTTCCACAAACACAGTGTAAAGTGGGTATCAATAGCGCAATCGCGCGTGCAGCCCCTCCGCTGAAACACCGAGAGGGACGATCAGTGAGAGGAAAGAGGAGTGAAGCCGGTGAGGGAGCGCAGGATCGCAGAGACGGTGGCAGGCAGTGGTGGCGGTGGTGGTGGTGGTTGTGTGAGGGGAGGGGGGGTGGGGGTCTCACAGTGCTCAGCAGCGACGTGTGTGAGGCTGGAGCTGGGCTGCGCGAGGCTGAGCGGGGAGTGTGGGGGTGGATGGGGAGGGAGGGGAGGAGGGAGGGCGTCCAGGGTCCAGAGCGCTCCGAGGTGCAGTGCTGCCGCGCAGCGCTCGGGTCGCTCATTGACTGACTGACTGACTGACAGAAACACAGACACAACACCCCTCTGCCTTTTCCTTGTGTCAAAACAATATACTTATATATAATAATCATTACTTCTTAATCTTTTCAGTGGGAGCTTTTTTCTCCACCTGGCCATCAAAATGATCACACACTCTTCCCAAACAAAGGACTGCGCTTTTTCTCGCCTTCACAAAATCTGGATCACTCAGTTTCCCCCCTTGTGACAGATCAGGGAGCCGGACAGTGTTAATATCTTACATTTGTCTCAGTCTTTTGCAAGATAAAAAACAGCTGACGATATTTCTGACGTGACAAAGTCAACTTTACCAAAAGGTGTCTTTCTTCTTCTAGTTTCACAAAATTAAAATCACGAGGAAGTTAAAGTGTGAGAGGATGGATTTAGTTTGTTGGATTTCGAGTGTCCGTGTGCATGTGTGGACAGTGTTTCTCAACACCCCCCAACCCCTCTGCCTCTCCCCTCTGTCTGCTGTGTCGTTCCCCTGGGTGATTTCCACTGCGCTTTGTGCGCAAAGTGAATGAATTATCCCCCTCCTCTCTGTCTCCCTCTCTCTCTTTCTCTGCATTGGAGAGACTGCTTGCCATAAAGCCAATGAAGTCCACCTCTTAACAAAAAGAGGTGGACTACCAGACACTCTTATAAAGTGCGCACTAGAGACTCAAGTTAGTGAGACAGAGGGAAGTTCACTAAACCGACAGTCCTGGCATCGATCAAAAAAAAAAGCAAACTTCTAAGACATTTACATTTACAAATGAAGTATGTGCACTTAATGGCAAAAGTCGAGCCAAATACAGTGGGATATTTTGTTGTGTAAAATTCCCCCAATTCAGCTGAGGAAATATTGTTTTGGAACTGATCTTGGGTCATTTTTACAGAAATGATCTCTGGCATCTGTGATTGTTTTAATCAATGTATCTTTTTGCGTTTCCTTTCTCTCCATTCAAATTTGGACATCACTAGACTAAACTAATCACTGTAGTACTTTCCCATAACCAGAAACAAAGCACCAACAGCTCTATTATGCACATACTCTTTCGACCATCACTGCAACAAACTGACAGAGTTAATCATAGGAAAATAATGAGGCAAAGCTAATTTATGGTACAAACACAAGTTTTAACCCAACTATCAGCCCTGGGATATTACACATGATTTGCGGGGGAATTATAATATATATGGTTTGATCATAAAGTGTGTATGCATGCTGTAGGACAGTGTGGTCCGACTGAAGGAGAATGAGAGAGACAGGGAGAGGAGAAGTCCCCTGTCTTCCTCTCCACTACACCCCCCTGCTGGCCACATATGGAACTGAGCAATATTACTAACAGCTTCAGACGAACTTTCTCTCCTGCTGTAACTCACTTTGGGTCACTGACAATTTCATTTTCATGGTCTGATTCAAACTGGGCACTAAAAAGGCAAAAAGCAGGTAAAGAAAATGTGACCTAAAGTTTTTACAATCCAGCAAATAAATCACTTTGGATTATCAGAAAATTCCCAGGTCTTAGACACAAAAGAACATGAGGTAAAGACTTGTGGTATATCACAGGGTGCATGGGTTGAAAATGTCTGCCTAACAGCATTTTACTGCGAAAGACAGGGTGCTTAGTGGGAATAAATATATAGTTTTGGATTCTCCTGAAACTAATGACACACTCAGCTAAACTGGACAATAAGAGTATGGATGATTTTCACAGATGCAGAGGATATGATTATTGTTTCTGAATTGTTATTTGCCCTAACATTTATCCCTCTGTAGATCTCAAGTGCCAAAACAACTGATTCTATCTACTATCTGACCAAAAATGTGGCCCCCCACAAACAGTTCATCATACACAGTGTTTGATGGGTTTCAAATGAAACTTTGAACTCAATTCACGTGATAATACAACAATGTTTTAGGTAACAAAAGCGTGGGAAAAGTGAAGAGGGTTGTGTGTGTGTGTGTGGTCTCCATACACGAGGGGCAGTAGCAGCGGTAGCAGTGCCATTAGTGGTGTGTTGTCTTGCTAATAGGCTCAGTTTGGAGTCAATGGGCTGACCGAGGAAGAGGACCATCCATGTATTAGATCCCTCTCCATTCAAAGTCTAATGCCACTCTTTAGTCCCACCCTCTGATGTTTTTAAATGCTGCCTCTGTGTGTATTGACTAGGAAGCACTTTGATAGCACCTGTTGCACTGCTGAGGCATCTGCACTGCTTCTTCCCCCCCACTCTGGAGCAAAGGCACTCCACATGCAGATATCAGAGGCGTAAGGGATACTGTAAATGTATGTAAGGACATAAGATACAAATTTTTAAGGCGGATTCACCTTAATTACAAAAAAGGTATCTGTCTCTGTCCCCACACCAATATACTGGTGGAGGTTACTAGTTCTGGGTTTTTACCTGCAGCATTAAACAAATCTATTTTAAATTACTTCCTGATGTTCTGTGGATTATCCAGAATGATATTCTGACTGACTTAAGTCCTTAGTAACAAGACACAGCCCTCTTATTCATTTGAATGAAGCCAGTCCAGCAACACACTGGGGGTGCCATCACAGCACCTTATGGAAAACACACAGGGTCAGCAGAAAAGGTAAAAAAGTTCCTGGACAGGAACACGACACAAGTATTAACTTTGCTGCAATGATAATTTTCCAGAGTTGTAAAATCATGTCTAACAGTATAGCAAACCGCTGTGCAGTGTCTAGGTGTTTGATGAGTCTTCAAATTCATGGATCTATTAATCAAACTGGAATTCCAGGATTATATACCTATTATGTCTCAGAGATACCTGAAACAAGTGGACCCTAATAGCATTGTTTTGACGCTGACATTTACACTCTGAATGCCTGCTAAAGAGAGAAAATGTTTGTCATTTGGGCGAACCAATCCATTGAGGCAGTTTCCCTATAGTACATCTCTGTATGCAGACGTGCATCCTCCACAATTCAAATCATAAGAATATCAAAAGCCAAATGAAATGATATTTGATAAGGAATAAAAACCAGTATCTTATGTTTGTCCAAAAAAAGCAAGATATTGGGCGTTAAAAACTGCCAAGGAGCTGTGTTGGTCGGAATATGTTGCTTCAGGTATCCGTGTAACAATAAAGTAACACAAAAACAATGCACAGGGGATTACACATATTATGAGGAAGGACTTTAATGCTCTGGAATGTTATCACCACTGCAGTCATTTTATCTTTCATCACAAAGATCGCAAGGTTAACACTAGACACTTATCTACCAGGAGATTATGCTTGCCAGTATTTGTTCGGCCAATGCAGCACCTTGCCAGATGACATTGCGAGCCAAATCCACCTTCTTTGCTGGATGGCCCTGCGTTTTTCTGCAGTAGCCCTGTGCATCAGGCAGATTTTCTGAGTATCTATAAATTCTAGGTACTTGTATGCTTCCAGATGCAAGAAATGGCTGAAAGGCCATCTTCTCCCGCGCCCAGACCTCCCTGACTGATGACATGACATGAGTCTACAACATTGCGTGTCAGCAGGTTAACATCAGGGCTCGTTCTGTTTTTCAACAGATTTCTTAGCATCCATCTGAACTGAGTCATGTCCTTGTGTTATGAAACCCCTGACATCTCCTCTGAAATGACAGAGTGATAATGAAAAGCCGAGCTGACAGCAGAGGGCCGGGGCTGCCCTCTCACGGCCTGCTTTCACCTCTGCTTGGCCGGGTTTATCCTTAAATTGAATTCCACTTTTTCAAAACTGAGCTAGGAGGGCTGGACTGAGGCAAAGTGGAGAGGGTGTGACAAGCTGTGGCTTTCTGCTTTGTTTATGTTGCTTGTTGGCTTGGTTATCTGCATTTTCTGTAAATGGTAGAACATAACAATCGGGTGGGAAAAAACGGTGCTGTAGTGAAACCATTTTCAGTTTTTTTGTGCGCTGGTTGGTGTATACACTGATAAAGGCAATGTTTCCTTGCTGGAAGCCCCTGTCTATTTTATGACTTGACCCATAATCCTTTGATATTTTAAGGCAGCTCAAACTTGACCCTTTCTACCACCCAGTGACTAAAGTAATACCCTGTTAGGTCCTTTACACCACGTGGGACTTAATTCCTTAAACAAACCATGTTTGAGTGTGATTTACAGCTAATCTGGACAGGCGACGGTCATTTCTATCTTTCCTTTAATAATTTACGATTGGTGGAATTTATAGCACCGGCTCCCCAGCCGTGCATGCCGCCAAATCCATATGTCTGTAATATAATGAGATTTAAGCGCAGCGAGATTATAAATTATGGTGTGATTTGTTCTCTCGCTGTTTTGTCAGGGCATAGCCTTTGAGTGTGTGTGTGTGTAGCTTGAGGACATGGCTGGCATTTGGCTGCCACGACGCTCTAATTGCTGACGTACACACAGATAGATGGGACCTGATGGTTGGTGTCGCCACTGGAGGGAGGGAGCGAGGGAGGAGAGAAGAGAAGTGAGGGACGAAAGGGAAGGAGAGAGGTGGATGAGGAGAAAGAAGAACAAGAGGGATAGCTGACTGGGGGAGATGAGAGGACAGGGAGGAGAAAAGGGAAATAGAGCATGGATGGATAGCTAGATGGAGAGACAAGTGAGGAGGACAGATATTGTCTTGTGGCGGGAGACGCAGCTGCCAGCTGCTACACAGCCAAGCGGTTAACCACAGTGAAGGAGCCACATTTAGAGAAAGCAAAGTGGAGAGCCAGAGAGAGGAGGGACAGAGACTCCGCCACATTCATTTCGCTCTCAGATCCGTTGCTCCAGGGAGCTGTTGGAAAATGAAGAA